GCTCCCACTCACCTTCTGGATGGAGGACTTGCCGCTGCGCCGCAGCCCCATGAGCAGAATCCTCGGCTTGGAGCTGTCAGCGCCCCCGGGACCACAGCCTCCGCCGGCCCCCGCCCCGACCCCGCCGCCGGCCGCAGCTGCCTCCTCTTCCTCCTCCTCCACGCCGTAGCCGAAGTCCTTTGGAAACGAATCGGCAGCGCCGTAACTGCCGGCGAGGGGCGTCTCTTCCGCCCCGTACTGCAGGGACATGGTGCTGGAGCCGCCGCCGCCGCCCGCGCCCTGACAGGCCAGGCCAAGCCAGGCCGCCGCCTCCCTAGTCCGCCGCCGCCGCTGCCGCCGCCGCCCCCGGCAGCCGCCACCGTCCGGCCCGCCCCCCAGCGCCCAGCCCTCATAGGCCCCCGAGCCGAGGCCCAGCCCCTCATTGGCCGCCCGAGCTGCCACTCGGGAGCAGCAGGGTAGGTGGTGTCCCGTCACGTGCTAGAATCACCTGACTCACAGCCGCGGGTGGGGGGAGGAGTCACGAGGAGGGCTGCCCGGCCGCGCCTCTCGCGCTGCTCCCGGCCCTCTGCCCTCCGCCTGGCGAGCACGCACCTCGGTCCTGCCCAGGAGACGCGCCTTGCTCCTGGCCGCCCCACTCACTGCCTTCTTCCGGGCTGCGGAGAGCACGGCAATGGGAGATGTTCTCTGGGCATTTGGGGAAGAATTTACAGTCCTTCTCCTACAGTTGTACTCGCTCAAACAGTATTGATTGATGCCTGAGATGTCCTGGGTACCTACCAACGGGCACAAAACTGGAACCGACTCGGACCCCACCTGCCCTCAAGTTGCTTCAGGATGAGCAGAGATCGGACTTCTGCGTAAGTAGCCCACATAGAATATTACATGGGAAGGTTACAAGCACAGATAAATAATGCTCTGGAGTTGGGAGGATGGGACAGACCGCAAGGAGTTAGCGTCTGACCGCGTTTAGGTGGGTGGATATGGTTAGGATGTGCAAAGGTATGGAGGAGCCAGCCAGACTTAAGGGCAAAGCCTCAACCAAAGCGTCATGGGTCTGCGTGATCGTTTGTTCCGTAGGACTCTAATAGGAATGCAACCCAGCTCAAACATCTTATCTCCTTTCTTCATCAAAGTGCTGGTAGTGGATACTTCTGCCACTTCAAACTCAACAGGACTAAATTTCCTCTCCTTCCAAACTCTATTTCTCCAGGAATTCCATTTCCCTCACAGAACATTGCATCTTCTATGACCTCCTTCAGAGACTAAAAGAATGAATATTGAAAGCAAACCAGGCCGGGCTCGGTGGCTCAGCCTGTAATCCCGCGCTTTGGGAGGCCGAGGTGAGTGGATTGCCTGAGTCCGCGGGTTCGAGACCCGCCTGGGCAACTTGGCGAGCCCTCATCTCTACAATAAATTAAAAAATCAGCCGGGTGTGGTAGCGCACGCCTGTAATTCTGACTACTTGGAAGGCTGAGGCGGAAGGATCGCCGGAGCCCAGCAGGTCGAGGCTGCAGTGGCCTGGAGTGGCCACTGCACTCCAGTCTGGGCGACAGAGTGAGACTTCAACTCAAAAAAAAAAAAAAAAGAAAGAAAGAAAGCAAATCAAAGCAAATGCTTGTCACCACATATGTTTAAGAAAGCTAGAGGAGTTTTGACCTTTGCAGTCAGACTCTAGAACTGGAAATTTGACAAGAGGACCCTCTCAAAGCACAGCTGTATACATTTTTTAAAGTGCAGGGTGGTGGTAGTCCTGATCTTCCAAGGAGACTGATCACTGATTATGAAGGGAAAATATTCTTATGCAGGTCTGGGACTTTGGTTATGTCTGAACCGAGAAGTAAAGGTGGGACACACCCTTAGACCAACCTCTCACCTACAAAGCATCAACCCTACAGTGTTTCTAATAGACATGCAGAATGCAGTAGCTCAGAATCGTTCCAAGGGAAAAGCGCTCACCATCTCAAAAGGCAGCCAGCTGCACTATGGAAAAGCTTTATTTGAAAGTTTATTCTAGTCAAAAATCACACTCCCTGAAGCCTGTATCAGAATAGGAATAGTCTTCATCTTTTTCATGCCAGCACTTCAGATATTAGATTGCAGTCTTCATTATTCACTAAGTCTTTTCTCTCCTTGATATTGTTCCTTCAACCATTCCTTCTGTGGTGCTGTTTGATACAAGTGTGATGATGATAGACATCTTCTGTATTGGCATTGTTCACCATGTAGCCACTAGCCACATGCTGACTGAGCACTTAAAATGTTGCTAGTGTGACTGAGGAGCTGAGTTTTTAATTGCCTTTCCTTTTTTTTTTTTTGAGTTGGAGTCTCACTCTGTCGCCCAGACTGGAGTGCAGTGGCCGCTCCCGGCCACCGCAGCCTCACCTGCTGGGCTCCAGCGATCCTTCTGCCTCAGCCTTCCGAGTAGTCAGAATTACAGGCGTGCGCTACCACACCCGGCTGATTTTTTAATTTATTATAGAGATGAGGTATCGCTGTCCAGGCGGGTCTCGAACCCGTGGGCTCAGGCAATCCACTTACCTCAGCCTCCCAAAGGCGCGGGATTACAGGCTGAGCCACGGAGCCCGCCTTTCCTTTTAATTGCCACAAGTGGCTAGTGGCTACCATATCAAACAGCCCAGTCTTATACATTCAACACCCCCCATTGGTCACTTTTCTTTATATGCATTCAGGTTTGCCATTATCCTTCAAACATATGGCACCTACAAGCAGTACTACCCAATACAGCTTTCAGGATAACTGTTTAGCACCTGGGCAATATTTCTATCAATGTCTTCCAGACTGGATTTTTTTTTTTTTAAAGTATCCATAGAGTGGTTCACATTAGTAATCACTGGAGCTACCACTCTGTCAGCAATCCTAGTGCCTAAACTTGTATAACTGCATTTTTTAACCTAAGCCTTGATATTTCAACTTTTTGGTTTAGGCCCAGTAGTTTGGGTATTTCAGATTGTTATAATCATTTTAATGCATGTGGCAATATAGTCTACCAACCAGCCCTTCCAATTGGTGGTACTTACAGTTGGCATTATTACCATCTGGTCCATATGTAGTCCTTTACAGCTTGGAAAGCACTTTGACATCCATTATATTTAATTTGATCTGATCCTTCCAACAACCTTGTGAGATAGGCAAGATGTGAAATCTGTATTTTATAGATGAAGCAACTGAAGCATAGCAGGAACTTAACTGATGAATTCCATTTTCTATTCCATTGAGCATCTTCTTGTATACAGTTTCCATCCAAATCCTTGATAGAAATGTCGAAGAAGACCTCTAAAAGCCAGGCTGATCATGAAATCTTAAAAAGCACTGACTGGTACAGCAATTTAAACAAGTCAGTTCCCCCTAAGAATGTGATTATCTAGCCCACATGATATGCCATTCTGTCCAAAAGGATGGTACAAGAGACAGCCACCTGACTTACTACATAAATATTAATACTAATCCCACGAGGAAAAGGCAAATGAGGGTTGGCTGCTGAAAAAAATTACTACTTATCTGTATCCACAAAGGGACTGTCACACCAATTGCTTACAGAAGCCAAGTCACCCTCTCTTCCAAAACCCTCAGCCATGTTTTATTATTCTTATGGTTCTTCATACACCCCGACCTACATTATAGTTGATTATATACATGTCTCATAACCAGCTTCAAGTTATTAATCACACCCAGCATTTAGCCTAGTGCTGTCCATGTAGGAGGCACTCAAATTGGTAGAAGAGAAATCTATTCAAGTGAATGTTGTTCTAATAGTAGCTGACACCTCTTCCAAAAACAACTAGAGGAGGCACAGACCACTACCACATTTCTGCTAACATCACTGATTAAAATGCCCTTATAATTGGCTTCGTCACCATTTCCACCAGGTGCCAACATTTTTGCTAGTTAAATCAGTTTTCGTTGGGTCATTTTGCTTTTTATGTATGCTCTGACTAAAAAATAAAGAAAGGTTCTATAACAATAGGGATAAAATACATGAAATAGGGATACTTCTTTAAAATGACAGTCTATCAATGAGGAAAGTGATCAGTAAGACAAAATATTTGACTGTAGTTCTGCCAAAAGAAAGGAAAAAGGACTAGCAAACAAGAATATAGTGCTTTACCATTTACAAATCTTTCACATACATTCTCATTTGACCCTCACAACAACCCTGTGAGGTAGGCAGCATAGATATTCTTATTTAACAGATGAGGAAAGTGAATCTCAGAGCAGTTAACTGATATGCCCAAGGTTCTACAGTTAGTGAATAATTTGTATTAATATCAGTCTTTGGCCTAAAAATTAAGCACCCAACCTCCCCTCATACTTGCCCTACCTACTTCACAGGGATAATGAAGATAAAATGAATTCAAGGCTAGAAAAATACATTGAGGGGGGAAAAAGCACTATATAATTATATCTACAAACTATAATTTTCCATGATATATGGCTCTTTCCCCTTCTCATCCCAGCTTGTGAGTGAACCCAGAGTTGTATATTGCCTCTGTTCTGTGCTCAACTAAGCAAATAAGGCAAGCAGGGGTACAGTGTGATTCTGTTTTTAAGTTACATAAATTACAATCAGGGTAACTGCTATTATTAGGCAAATTGAAAAATAGCACAGAAAGGCCAGTGCACAACTAGGGCCCACTAAAGCGCAGAGCAAAGCGAGGCAAGATTATCAAGACAGGGCATGATTGCATAGAAGGAAAACGTGGTGTCAGAGTTCATACTGGCACACACACAGTTATCTAAGGCAAAGTGGTGGCAAAGAAGAGTTATTTGTTCTGCACTATATAAACAAGAGCAGAAGATTCATGGGAACCCGTGCAAAAGCATCTCATGTCACACAGATCTCTCCAGCTGCCTACGGAGAATATAAACAACAGTGTCATCTTCATTTTAAAGAATGACTGTACCTCATATCCTGAAATACACCAAGGAATAGCTTCATGCTAAACTGTCATGGCTAAAATACAACCAGTACCATCATTCTTAATCAGACTAATAAACAATATCTCTTAAGGTAATGAATTAGATGGCTCTGTTTAGGTTTTTTCCAGGATTTACTTTGGATTCTCCTGCTTTAAGACCCAAAGAAAGTTATATTGAGTTTTTATTGGTGATTCTATGTATGTATGTTTATAACAGAGTGTGATAGGTGAATTTAACATATTAAAATTGAGTTCTATAGCATCTGTTCAAAAAAGATTATATACTATACAAACTATTCAAGTCATACAAAACCATTTTTCAGTGTCTTTTCAACTGAGAAGAATCCTATTCAGCACGCTTCTCCTCCTGAAGTGGTTCATACTGAGCAAGCTATGAGGCAAAGACAGAGGAGTTTAGGTGAATTTTATTCTAAATTGGGTAAAAACTACTTAGTAACAAGATGAATTAACTATTCAACTTAGTTATTAAATCAGTACATTTGTAATAATATCAGTTTCTATAACTATCCATTTTAAATCATTCAATTATTTAAGATTTAATACAACTAAGCCTAATTAAAGCCCTTTTCATATAAACCTTTAAAATTCCTGGAAAACTAAAATTTCATTCCTGTTCAAATACTTGATATGCAATAATCTATATCTTCTCAAGGCTTATAACGAAATTTCTTCCCCTCCACCAAAAGCTTACTGAAAATTCCCCCTAAAATGTAGACAAAGAGTTATGTGACATATATTAATCTAGTCAGCCAATGATGAATAACTAATGTCTTTCACTTAAAAGATGCCAAAGAGTTAACTAGCATTTGCTTACTGTGGAATCTTAGGTAATTTATGATACTGCACTTTCTCTTATGCTAAGTTGTGGTTCCTTGCAAGAAAACTAGACTAACATTCAGGTTTTTTCAATTAGCTGCTGGATTTGAGACGTTTATTAGACATCACTATGCTTTAGCTGCCTCACCTATAAAATGGCTGGTGTACATGTTTTACTTATCTCACTAGGTTGTTAAGAAGATAAAACACATTATGATAAATACTTAGAGTGATATAAAATGTACTACATGATTCAGAAAGTGATAAAACCTCAAAGACTTAGAGTTGACTAATTCGAAGTTTATGAAAATTCTCACAGGAGTTTGAAGTAAGAAAAAAACTTCAGCTGTATATAAAATTAAGTGCAAATTTACATAACTAAATCTGTTAACCCAGGGTCACCATATATGACCTTGCAATCACAAAGCCCATCACAAAGCAGTGGCCCCAGATTTACCTACTTAAAAATCAACTGCTTAAGAATCTTAGAACTATCCATTTACTTATAAGTACCATTAATCAATATTCTCATCTTTTTGTTTATGCAGGTTCTCAAGAACCTCTTCTTGACCACACTTTGTCCTATTTACAGTGTGTTTTGTAGTTTTTAGAAGTTTGGCCTTGCAATTCATTCAGATTGATACTCATCCTCCTCTCTCCCCTCTTGTCCATTTTAGTGAGGTTTTGATCATATAAGTATTAAAGGTTAAATTATTTTAATGGGAATTCTTTTTTTTAAATTTACCTTTGCTTTCAGTTTTTTATTTTCTTCTACAATAGCTTCGTATTTCTCTTTCATTTCTGCCAATTCTAGGCGAAGCAACTCTATTTCTGGATTTTCTGGGGTAGCGGCTCCTAAGTGATGCTTTAAAAAACTATTATCAGTGTTAAGAATTTACTTCTTAGAGCTGAATGAAACTAAGGAAATAGCACAGAATAGCATCAATATCCCTAATCAGAGTCACCCACCCTACCACCAGTATTTACCCAGAGGTCAGCATCCAGAAACTCAAAAGAAAGTAACTTTCTCAATAAGCAAAAGTTTTTAAAGGTTATTATCTATGTGAAAAAATAAAAGTTTCAAAATAAGGTCTTTTTCTAACTTCAAAGATGAAAAGGATACTCCAAAGCACTATTAGGTTTCTCTGGTTCTTCATATAAGGCTACCAACACTGCAAATCAAAAAGCAGAAAAAGCAACAATTAAAGTCTTAAATTTGAATGGCTGAAAGTTGTATATTCCATAACCCAGTAAATATTAGGTACCAACTATAGGCCAGAAGATATTGTAAAAACTGTCTATTCAATGATGAACAAGACAGCAGGGTCCCTGCTCTCAACAAAGTTACAGTCCAGTGCAAAAGATAAGCAAGGAACTAGCCAAAGAAAGAGTATCAAGTAGCAGTACTGGATAATGGGTTATGAGAGCACACTGGAAGAACACTTAACTAAGCCTAGAGGCCAGGCACAGTGGTTCATGTGTACCCAGCACTTTGGGAGGCTAACGCAAGAGGATTGTCTGAGCCCAGGAGTTCGAGACCAGCCTGGGCAACATGGTGAGACCTCACTTCTACAGTCAATTAAAAAATTTGCCAGGTGACAGAGTTAGACTCCAAAGCAAAAAAAGAAAAAAAATCCCTAAGCCTAGGACATCAGGGAAGACTCCCCCAAAAAGGAAAAGACCTGAGACCTACCTAGGCGATGAGTACTTCAGAGAAAATGGGAAGGCCCACAAGCAAGAAAACAATACACTGAGGAACTGAAAATTCAAGTATGGTTGAGTAGAGTTGTGAGTAAGATGGTCAGGAGTCAGATTATGGAGGGTCTTACAAATTTGGTTGGACTTGGATCCTAAGAACAGGCATATAATTAAACTGTTTTCAGGAGAAGAGTGATAGAATCACTCTTGACTCCTGTGTGGAAGATCAAGTGGGATAAGGATAAAGGCAAGAAGAGGCTGATGTGGTAATCTAAGTTAAAAAGATAACCTGCAGTATAGTGTTACAGCAGTGGGAAGAAAGAAATTAGAGAATAACTTAGGAAAGAATCAATAGGGCTATGGTAATTACTGGAATAAACTTTTAATTCAAAATGGTCTTCAAGAATAAAGTTTCAGCCAGGCATGATGGCTCATGCCTCTAATCTTAGCCCTTTGGGAAGCCAGGGTGAGAGGACTACTTGAGACCAGGAGTTCAAGACCAGCCCAGGCATCATAGCAAGACTCTGGTCCCTACAAAAACTTTAAAAAAGTAGCTGACTTGGTGGCACACACCTGTAGTCTTAGCTACTTGGGAGTCTACAAGGAGGATCACTTGAGCCCAGGAGTTTGAGGCTACAGTGAGCTATAATCGTACCAATGCACTCCAGCCTGGGAAACAAAAGTGAGACCTTATCTCTTAAAAAAAAAAAAATTAACATGCCTAAATCAACATGAAAATATATACTTTAGTGGTTTCATATCCAATAGCTTATATGAGCATACTTTGTTCATCTACTGAAGAGCTCCTCCTAGAATTTACTACTCATATAAAAATCTCTCTAAACCAAACTAGTAGTTATTTTGTCCATGGAATTCTTTGAAAAGCCTGATAAAAGAAAAAAAAAAAAGTAACCACATACACAAAAAAATGTGCATATCTAGACCCCAAGTTAAAAAGTCCTATTGTAAATTAGCTTACATGGTTACCTTTTGTTTTAGAATTTTAATAACATCAAAATAATATATAGTATTAAAAATTAAATGGGCAACTACTTTTAACAACGTACATTGAATTCTGATAGCTACTCTTCATCTTCTCAATGCACTTACAGCATTATATTTGAGAAACCAAAAAATATATTTATACCATCCCTCCCCTCTCCTCTCCTCTCCCCTTTCAATATGCTACAGAACTCTTTTAATCCCTCTTTATTGCCTTTTTCTTAAAATTATATGCTCTAACCTCTGTTTCTTCCATTAATTTCCACTGATCTCTATTAAATCCTAATTTTATAAGACATGGATATTAATACTCTTACTCTTTCCTCCTCTTCTCCTCACAACCTGTTTCTCACAGCTTCTAAATTTCTGTTAGTGGTACTTACAAGGTTGACAGTTGCAGAATATAATGTAAACACTAGGTTTCCTGTGTTTTTCTATAGAAGAAATATACTTCCTTTTAATCAGACAAGAACTTGATACCCAAACATGTTCCCCTTTCTGCCTTAGCAGCCAGGATTTTTAGAGGTTGATGTAGTGTTCAAAATAGCTAAAAATGCTTCTTCTTCCAAGTGATTTATCATCTTTATTTTTAGTCATCCTCATAATGTTTTACTGTTATAAACAGTTTTAAGTATTCTTGGCAATAAGCTAGATAGAAAATATAAAATAAATTTGTGGGCAGGCATGGTGGCTCACACCTGTAATCCCAGCATTTTGGGAGGCTGAGATGGAAGGATCACTTGAGCCCAGGAGTTCCAGACCAGTCTAGGCAACATAATAAGACATCATCACTACAAAAAAAAAAAAAAAGCCAGGCGTGGTGGCAAGCACCTGTAGTCCCAACTACTTGAGAGGCTGAGGCAGAAGGATCTCCTGAGCCCAGGAGGTTGAGGGTACAGTAAGCCTTAATGGTGTCACTGCCCTCCAGCCTGGATGACAAAATGAAACGCCAACTCAAAAAAAAAAGAACAAAAAAAGAAAATTGTGTAAAATACCTATGTTTGAAGCTGAAAAATCAAATTTTAAATAAATCATATTAAAGTTGTTAAGTTGTAATCAATATCATTAAGTTGTCTGATGTTATATTTAGGAGCCTGGAAACCCAAAGAGATTGAAGGGTTAGAGTCCAGTGGATGTGAGGAGGGGAAAGATGCCTCCAGGCGTTTCCAGTCTCTCGTGATAGAAAATCCTTATATGAACACAAGCCTATTATACATCTTCTGTGTAGTCAGTTACCTCTTACAAGTGTCATTTTTCTGCCTTTTATCATTCTTTTATTCACTCCATCTAGCCACTCTGGTCTCCATATATTTCCTAGAACTCTTGACATCATGTACTATTTCATACAGGTCTCTGCTCAAAAGTTGCTTCTTAAGAAGGGCCTGGCCAGGCACGGTAGCTCACACCTGAAATCCCAGCACTTTCGGCAGCCAGGGCGAGTGGATTGCCTGAGCCCAGGGCTTCACAACCAACCTGGGCAACTTAACAAGACCTCATCTCTACAATAAATCAAAAAATGATCCAGGCATAGTGGCACATCCCTGTAGTTCCAGCTACTTGGAAGGCTGAGACAGAAGGATTGCCTGAATCCAGCAGGTGGAGGCTGCAGTGGCCCTGAGTGTGCCACTGCACTTTAGCCTGGGTGAAAGAGTGAGACTCCAACTCAAAAAAAAAAAGTCCTTCCCTCCACCACCCTATATAAAATGGCATACACATGTCACCTGTCAACTCTTTTTTTTCCCCCTCTGTCACCAGGCTGGAGTGCAGTGGCACAATCACAGCTCATTGCATCCTCCTCGGCTCAGGCGATCCTTCTGCCTCAGCCTCTCTGTAGATGGAACTACAGGTACCACCACACCCAGGTAATTTTTTTTTAAAGAGAAGGGGTCTCACTATGTTGCCAGGCTGGTCTCAAACTCCCAGGCTCAAACAATCCTCTTACCTCAACCTCCCAAAGTGCTGGGATTACAGGTGTGAGCCACCATGTCTGACTGCCACCTTAAATGCTATCCCTAACCTTGGTATATTTTTATTCATAACACTTCCACTAGCTAACACTGTGTAATTATCTGTCTCCACTAACTACCATATACACTCACAAGAACAGAGACTTTTTCCCTCTGCTGTGTCCCGTATCTGGAACAGAGACTTGAATAAAATGGTCTAAATAAATGAAAGAAATTAACTTGTAGAGTTTTTAGAGGGGATGACATTTCAAGCATCTGTGACACCTCAAGAGACAACATAACACAGCGCTTCCATACAGCAGTCCCTTAATACTTGCTGAAATGTATCTGCAAAGCAATAAAACTAGTATCTGAACCCAAAGTAGGTGGCAATTCAAAATTACCAGCCCATAGCCAGGTGCAGTGGCTCACGAACATAATCCTAGCACTTTGGGAGGCTGAGGTGAGAGGAGTGCCTGAGCCCACTGGTTTGAGACCAGCCTGGGCAACTTGGTGAGACCTCATCTCTATAATAAATCAAAAAACTAGCCAGGTGTGATGGCACATGCCTGTAGTTCCAGCTACTTGAAAGGCTGAGGCAGAAGGATCGCCTGAGCCCAGCAGGTTGAAGCTGCGGTAGCCATGAGCATGCCACTCCACTCCAGCCCAGGCGACAAAGTGAGACTCTGACACACATACAAAAAAAATTACCAGCCCATGCATGGGAATTAAGTCTGCTTTCTGCTAAGACCCAGGAGTTGTTCTCCCAGAATTTTCCTCTAACCTTTGCTCCTGTCCAAAGAACAGTTACCAAATTATTTCCCAGACACTTCCTAGTTTCATATGACCCAGGTCTTCATCCCTGCCAACAATTTCATTCCACACCCTTGAAAATCCCAGCCAGTGAGTTGAGTGACAAATAGCAGGTAGTAAAATTACTGCCGAGCAAATGAAGTTGTACCCTACATCTTGGAATCCTCCTGTTTCATGAACTTTACTCATGAACTACTTAGATCTTGAAACCATGAAGAAACAGATACAATGTAACATTAAACGTCCAGTTTAAAACTTGAAAATAGTATATGTAACCATTTTGATGTACCCTCAAGCTCTTTAAACTATAATTCTACTTTAACTTCAAAATCTACACAAAATAGGAATTGATGCAGATTATTAACTGGAGTTGAAAAGTCACAGCTAAATGACATTACACGATTTATTTAAAATTTGATTGTTCAGCTTCAAACATAGGTACTTTACACAATTTTTTTTTTTTTTTTTTTTTTTTTTTTATTTGAGCTCTCATTTTTGTCTCCCAGGCTGGAGGGCAGTGACACCATCAAAGCTCACTGCAGTCTCAACCTCCTGGCTCAGGCGATCCTTCTGTCTCAGCCTCTCAAGTAGTTGGGACTACAGGCTATGAATTGCCTACTTTGGGGTTTAGGCTCGCTCAGCCCACTTTCATATCCAGTCATTTTCCAGTTGCCTTTTGTTCGAGGAAAAATGTCTCTTAACAGGATTCTGAGGACTCCGCAAAAACTATAAGACGGGAGGAATTGGGATCTCAAGGTCTTAAAAAAACATGTCCACTGCGGCCGCTCGAGGCAAAACAACGGAAGTTGGAGCGACTTTGCAACAGCTGCAAGAGTTTCACTCCATGCGCGGAGACTGGTAGCGTGAACTAGGCTACCGCACCTGGGCGGCGTCCAGCAGCCAGCATGAGCCGGTCCCCGCCGAACCTGAGGCCCACCTCGCTGGACCGGTTGCGTCCCACCTGTTTCCCTTCTTCCCCACATTACGGCCTTTCGGGGGCGCAGCCCCGAAGAGCACCACGAGGGCACGAGGAACCCTCTCCTAGCCCATGCTCACCCTTGGTCAGTGTGTCCAGCACCCCCGACTTCTCCAAGTACCTCCGGAACTGCTCACGCTTCGAGTCGGCGGCCTGAGGAGACACCGTGGGTCAGTGGCCAAAGCCCGGGGACTGGAGCAGAAGAAGGCGCTGGGAGTAAGGCAACCCCACCTTTGCCTCACTACATCGGACCGCCTCCCCACCCCAAATCCTGTGCCGGCACCCCAACTCCCACCCGGAGGCCGACCGGCGGCTGGCTACCTCCCACACGCCCCCAACCACGCCGCGCCCCCCTCACTTTGTAATGGGCCATAGTGACAGCGGCGTAGCTGGCGCCGGAGACCGCGACTGGCGGGCTCGGAACAGAACTGCTCATGCGCGAAAGGAGGCGCGCGTCTGCGCACTTGCGAAGCACGGGCCGGCATTGCCGGGGTGTGGCCTGTTTCCATGGCGCCCAGGACGCTCTGACTCTTTCACTGCACGCTATGCCGAGGGAGGCTGCGTACGCCCGCCCCTCTGGCTGTCGGAGCAGCACCACTACTTCCTTTTCCGGTCCACACAACGTTTGGGAAAAGCGAGATTTGGAGAATCTATCCAGATGGGGATAGAGATGGGCGTGGCGTCCGGAAGCAGAGCCCGGGAACGCTATGAAGATTGCAGGCGGGAGGGTCGCCGGACGCTGGTAGTGAGCGCATCTTTCTCAACTGGGACGTCGGAAGTTGTGGTGACCCATAAGTGCTGGGCTTCTTGGCTCTCATCCTGATAAAGCTCGCACTACTTTTCAATGGCTGAGGAGAGTGTTTAGAATTGTATGTTTTGGCTCCAGCCTTTACCTTTGGAATCTCCTTGATTTGTGACTAACTTGGTGGTGACGCTGGAGTGTGAACAGTAAATTGCTGGCACTTTTGAGCGCTTATTGTGTGCCAGGTACTGTAGTAAGCATAGGTGTGTTTCGTTTTAATTCTTACAACACTTCTGTAAGGTAGGGTAGTGTTAGTAAAGTGGCAAGGTTAAATGACCAGTGAGAAGTGTGAGATACTTATCCAGGCAGTGAACCACGATGCTATGTACTGGTGAAAGAGAGCCACGGTCTTTTAAAGATTTTATTTACTAGGTAGCAACATGTGGTTATATACTCAAGACACAACCGGTTGCAGTCTAGAAGGAAACTAAGTTATTGCGTTCCAAGGGTAAACAAAGTTAACCCAGTGTCCAAAGATAAAGGATTAGTAACTAACAGGAGCAATTATATAGATTAAGAACAATTTTCTCGCGGTGCTTCACGCCTGTAATCCTAACACTTGGGAGGCCGAAGCAAGAGGATTGCCTGAGCGCAGGGACTCCAGACCAGCCCGGACAACTTGGAGAGACCTCATCCCTACAATAAATCAAAAAATTAGCTGGTCGCGGTGGCCTATGGTTCCAGCTATTTGGACGGCTGAGGTGGAAGGACCTCCTGAGTCCGGCAGGTAGAGACTATGGTGGCCATGAGTGTGCTACTGCACTCCAGCCTGGAAGACAGAGTAAGACTCAACTAATTTAAAAAAAAAAAAAAAATTCCCAAAGGCTGTGGTCCCTTCAAAGAGAAAACGTGATCAAATCATTTAGGGTTGATTCTGAACATGTAATTTTCTCAAACTCAGTTTCACACATTCTGAAGGAAACCTTAAAAAAAAAAAATCCGGTCGGGCTCGGTGGCTCAGCCTGTAATCCCACGCTTTGGGAGGTTGAGGTGAGTGGATTGCCTGAGCCCGCGGGTTCGAGACCCGCCTGGGCAACTTGGCGAGACCTCATCTCTACAATAAATCAAAAAAATTAGCCGGGTGTGGTAGCACACGCCTGTAGTTCCAGTTACTTGGAAGGCTGAGGCAAAAGGATCGCCGGAGCCCAGCAGGTCGAGCCCGGTGACCGGGAGCGGCCACTGCACTCCAGTCTGGGTGACAGAGTGAGACTCCAACTCAAAAAAAAAAAAAAAATCTGGATTTTTTATAATTGTATGTATTTGAATCTAGAATTATTGCTTAAGAATCCAGAATTAGAGCTGTTTTCCCCTTTCTGCAAATGAGTTTGCAGTTGTCTTGTCTTAACAGTTGGTTTTTAGAGATGCCCTTATCTATTTTGCCTGTGTTTCACCAACACTAGGCTACTTCTCTAATAATAAAATATGCAGAATACCTGAAAGCCAACAGCTGTTCAGATCTGAAGATCTGTGGGAACCCGCCTACCAATGAAGTTGTTCATCAGGGACGCCATATGATTTGGAGGACTAACAGCGGGTTTATTGCAGGTTCTGACAGACTCAAGCTCAAAGGACAACTCTCCCAAAGAGTCAGGAGTGTTTGGAATGTCAAGTGACTGGGAGTCTCCTTGTGAAGGAGAAAGGGTTCTGATTGTGTCCTCTCTGAACTGGCCCTTGAGGTTACCTTTAGGAGGTGACCCCCAGTTTTTATCTTCTGTAGAGTGACTCCATGTAGTTCTAAGCCACCTCGGTTTCCAAGTGGAGTTAGCTGGGAGGGGGCAAGCAGTTTGGGGTGACTGCCCCATGTGGTTGTCCAGATTTATAGCGACGCCTGGAATAGAACAGTGATCTCTAGAGTTCCTTTGGCTATCTTTGCCATCAGTTTCTCTTTTTTCCCTTAATTGGTCACCAACTTTTCCACATATTTTGTGTGTTTCTTTATTATTTGATCCGATGTCTTGAAAATGCCTACAAGTAGTACTAACTGTGCAAATCTCAGAAACTGTAGTTTCCTGTTCATCTGTACTGCGTTTCTTATCATTTACACTGTGAGTGTCAGGATTTGCCTGAAATGCAGAAGATGAATTTAAATTAGGGTACACTGCTGTGTGTGTTTGCTTTTCCACTAACAGATTATAATCAGGAGCAGAAGGGAGTCGCTTCACTGAATTTGCAGATGTGCTCTGATATTTGACTAGATTTTGTTTTGACTTGCTTGCATAGAATTCATTATGCTCATCCTTCAACTTATGTCCCCAAAGCCCTCTTTTAATCTTTTTAAAACCTAGGTGGAAAATTTCTAGAATGCTTAAGAAAAGTGAAATTGTGGCTATAGATTGCATAAATAATAAGAATATTGTCTTTTCTGTTGGTCTTGATACAAAACAATCGATTATATTTGGACACGGGTGGCCATGACATTTAAATAAAGGCTCTAAGTGAAATCCATATAAAAGGTACTGTCCAATCATGAACCCAACTTCAAGCACAGAGCGAGTGAGAATGTGTATCACATAAGTGCAAAGCAAGGTTCCTCTGAGTGGAGCTTTATTTAGCTTTCTTTTCTCCAGCTGACAAAGTTCTTGCTCCAGTCTCCTCCGATCCCCAGGCATTTCGAACTCTACCCACTCCAGTTCTCCTCTTAATTGAGCTTTCATCCTTTGCCTCTCTTCCTCTAGAATTCTCAATCGGTACAAAGCGTGGCCCATGTAGACCAGGGATGGTGAAGACACAAATATCACCTGCAGAACCCAGTATCTTATGAGAGAGATAGGAAAGGCCTGGTCATAGCATACATTTCTGCAGCCCGGTTGTTCTGTATTGCAGATGAAGTCAGACTGCTCATCATTCCAGACATCTTCAGCTGCTACACCCAGAACAAGCATTCGAAATATGAACAGGATGGTGAGCCAGATCTTTCCAATCATAGTGGAATGGATGTGAACTTCCTCCAAAGTATCTCCAAGGAGATTCCAGTCCCCCATTTTTATTTAGTCAGCCATCTTAGCCCCATCAAATAGAAGACATGAATTTTTCCATTCTGAAGGGAGCACTATTTCTTAAAGCAAACCTATGGTGAAAATATGAACAAAGCATCACTTTTTCCATATGCTGGTTACTTTACTTTTTCCCTAGACAGCAGTTTATTCTTTGACCAAAAATATATTTTAGATGTGAGGAATGTAAAATTACTTATATTTAGACATCATAATGCAATGAAAAAAAGTGATACCTGAAAAAGGAGTGTATGTATTTTCTATTAAGAATATAATGGTAGGATTTCCCATCAAAGAGGAGTGATCTTATTTAGCCTAAGTTTGTAGTTGTTGTTGTATCTTTTTTTAACTAAGAACTTTTGGAGATACTTCTAAAGATACTGACTTCATCTTAACCTATTAAGATTATTTTATATAAGTTATAACCACAGTCAATGATTTTTTTTAACATGCTATTGCTGACTTGAAAATTTAAGGATTTTTATATCTCATTCATACACAAAGAAAAATGAATATGCTTCATTTGATAATTCAGTAAGATACAGTGTTTAATGAAACCAGAGGAAACAACTGGTTCTTGTAATAGGAATTTAGATTAGTTTTTTAATCTGAATTTAAATGAGTTTTGGTTTCTTTCTGGCAGTTGGTGAGCCTTTTCAGAAAGTCATTTCCATAAGATTGATGAATATTTATAAAAATTCTTATACATTTCTATGAAAAATTTTGTAAATTTTTATCATGTTAAAATGAACTCCAGAAGGCAGGATACACTGGGGGGATACATCAGGAAAAAATTTTTTTAAATGGACTCCAAAATTTCTCAGCTATTTTATGGTACCAGAATGTTATTAGATATTACTTGAAATAAATCATTGGTGTGCTGGTGATATTATGGAAACATTCAATATAATATTATTTGACCTATTTAAAACATGTAACTGCTTTCTGAAGGGAATAGTGGAGCAAGTTATAATTTAGCTGCTGGATTAACTGCCAGTAGGTTCCATATTAAGTTTATACCCTAGGATATCTTGGCTTTTTAAACAACTGGTTCTAGAGTCTTTAATTCCTTTCTTAAAGCTTTGTGTACTGATAATAAGGCTTGCAAAAGCATCAACCTTCTAAATTTTAACTGTATTCCTGAGATAGGTAAAAGTTCTATTGACCTTATTAGGTTAATAATATACTGACCCAGCAATCCTTGCTTAAAATATAAGCAAGGATGTTATTCATGTTGTTTTTTGGAATAGTCATAAATTGAAAACATCCAAAATAATTATCAATACAAAAAAGAGTGGTTAAATAAGTAGTAATACCTCCATGGTGTGATACTGTGCAACCAGTATAAATGATAAACATATACTAAAAAAATTTGACATATTGCTTCAGTGAAATTCAGGTTATAAAATAGAATAGTATGGCCCCATTATTGTAAATTTAATTCTATATAGAGATGTAGACAAAAAAGTCTAGAAGAATATTCATCAAAATAGTAACTGTAATTAGCTCTGGAAGTTGGGATTACAAGTGACAATATTTTGTAGCTATATGTATTTTAATTTTTACCATGAGCATTTTACTTTTATAATCATAAAAAAAGGATTTTTTTCTAAAAGACAAGAGCATAGTATTTCCTAAAAGAAGCAGTATTATTTAGCTACAAATTAAAGCTTTCATAGGAAATGATATGAAAACTAGTATACATAGATACAGTACAATAGAATTCAAAAGTGAAAGGTAAAAACATTTCAAACAACTCTTTATAAGCTGAAACAGAGAGATTAACACAAACCTTTCTTAGTTTAGGTAAATCTGAGAAGCAGATCATGCTTAGAAGTTATATCATGGCCATCTTCAATTTATTCTCTGAATGTGTCGCTTTGCAGGTGTAGAGCAGATTCTGTTCAGTTCAGTGCAGTGAGGGAGTTAGCCATCAGCTAAAATCCATTTCCCTTTCTGCTCAACCTTGCTTCCAAAACAGCACTGTCCAACAACAATGGAAATATTCTCTATCTGCGCTATCCAATAAGGTAGCTACTAGCCACATGTAGCTATTGAACACTTGTAATATGGCTTGAGAATCAGAGCAATTGAATTTTTTATTTCATTTAATATTAATAAAAATTTTAACAGCTACATGTACCTAGAGGCTGCCTTATTGAACAACACAGATAAAGAATGCTTCTTGAATTTCAAGTCAGTGACAAGAAATTTTTTTTAAAAGAATACTTTTAATATTCCTAACAACTGTAGTCTAGAAGACTAAAGTTATGAGTCCCAAATTAAGAAAATGCTTCCTCTATAATTCAGAGATGTCATATTTAAAATACCAGGAGATATTTGTGTCCTTTTTCTAACTATAATTTTTGCCACTATAAAAGATCATTGTTTTTGGCAAAGTGAGCCATACTTCTAGTATCAAAAGAATCTTTCTTATTAGATAATAACTTCTTGGTCATCAGCCTTAATAATCAGTGGGTCAACCAGGCTCGGTGGCTCAGCCTGTAATCCCGCGCCTTTGGGAGGCTGAGGTGAGTGGATTGCCTGAGTCCGCGGGTTCGAGTCCCGCCTGGGCAGCGAGACCTCATCTCTACAATAAATCAAAAAATCAGCTGGGTGTGGTAGTGCATGCCTGTAATTCCGGCTACTTGGAAGGCTGAGGTGGAAGGATCACCGGAGCTCAGCACGTCGAGGCTGCGGTGGCTGGGAGCAGCCACTGCACTCCAGTCTGGGTGACAGAGTGAGACTCCAACTCTAAAAAAAATAATAATAAAAAAATAAAAATAATCAGTGGGTCATATCCAATTTCATAGTTAGCTAAATGTTGTTTCTCTGTATGGTTTTATTATTAACAGTTACATTGAGCCACGCACAATGGCCTATGCCTGTAGTTCCACCACTTTGGGAGGCCAAGTCAGAAAGATCTTAAGGCCAGGAGTTTGAGACCAACCTGGGCAACATAGCCAGATGCTGTCTCTACAAAAAAAATTTTAAAAATTAGCAAGTAAAGTGGCACACACTTATAGTCCCAGCTATTCAGGAGGCTGAGGCAGGAGGACCACTTGAGCTCAGTAAACTATGATTTGAGGCTGCAGTAAACTATGATTGCACCACTACACTCCAGCATGGGTGACAGAGCAAGACCCTGTATTTTTTTTTTTTTTTTTTTTAAGTCTGATGGGGCAGAAAGAGTGACAATTACATTGTACTTTAGGTCATTAAAAGTCTCTTCAGAACTTGTGACCTGGTTGGCCATGATAGACAGATATTTCTTCCCTGGGCCTCTTTGCCAACTAATCACTACTTTTCAGATTAAATACAAACATTTTATCAGGGAAAAATGTTTACTTATTTTTATATATATTCATGTCTATATATTATATAAATTATATATTATGTATAATATATAAATTAATAATAAACTCTAAAATGCCAACCTCAGTAGTCAGAGAAATACAAATTTAAATGAAGTATTATCTTTTAACTGTCAGAATGCAAAAATTTCAAAATTTATAATACTTTTTTTGGCAAAGTAGGGGGGAAACTGTTACTCCCACATTCTATGGGGAAGACTATAAATAGACACAGCTATTTAAAAAATAAATCTCTTAAAATTAATGTAACATTTTTGCTTCTGGATACTTGAAATAGTCATTCAGGAAACACACATAAAGACACACTATGCCAGGATGTGCTAGGATGTTCACATAGCACTGTTGGTAATTATACATAATCAGCAATAATTTAAATGTCCAATAGAAGAATGGGTAATTATAGTACATCTATGTCATTCAGCAATTCAGGTGTCTGTTACATATCTATGAACTAACACAGAAAGATCTCTAAGTCATATTGTAAAGTAAGCTAAAGAACAATACATGTATCTCATTTATCTTGTTAAAAACTACAGCTTATATCTAATTAGGTAAAAATAGATTAACACAAACTTGTCTTAGTTTAGGTAAATCTGAGATGCAAATTATGTTTAGAAGGAGTTATACCATGGTCACCTTCAACTTATTCTCTGAATTTATCCCTTTGAGGGTGTCAAACGGATTCAGTGTAGTCCAACGCAGTAAACAACTTAAATCTATTTCCTTTTCTGCTCATCCTATATAGAAAAAAGTCTGCATGGATACATACCATACCGTTGTGACCACTAACAGTGGCCATTGCTAGGGAAAAGGAGCAGGTTTGGGAAGAGAAGGCAAAGGAGATTTTATCTTTTTTTTTTTTTTTTTTTTTTGAGTTGGAGTCTCACTCTGCACCCAGACTGGAGTGCAGTGGCCGCTTCCAGCCACCGCAGCCGCGACCTGCTGGGCTCCGGCGATCCTACCGCCTCAGCTTTCCAAGTAGCTGGAATTATAGATATGCACTATCACGCCCGGCTGATTTTTTGATTTATTGTAGAGATGAGGTCTCGCTGCCCAAGTGGGGCTCGAACCCACGGGCTCAGGCAATCCACTCACCTCAGCCTCCCAAAGGCACGGGATTACAGGCTGAGCCACCGAGCCTGGCTAGATTTTATCTTTTAAGTTCCTGTTTGAATCTTTTTTAATCAAGAACGTATTCATATTTCCATGCTCATACTTTAATTTTTTCAACAAATCCAAAATCAGTTTTTCTCAGAATACTAAAATACTAACTTTCCTCATGATAAATAATTAAGTGTATGTGCCCCTTTAAAAATACAATAACATGTTTAGATGGATGTTTAATAAAATATGTTGATGATAAAGGAAGAAAAATTTTATTTCCTATATTCAGGTCACCTAAAGCTACCATTTCAGAAAACAATGAATAGCAGTCTGAATTACATGCAAGAAAAGGACACAGGCTTCTCAGCTTTCAGATACTACCTTTTGTAAATAAATCCTACTCATTCCTAGGAGAACCATTAGCCATATAAAGGCCGAGAATGTGACCAAAGATGAGAATCCAAAAAGTCCAGGTACATAGTGTGTACCAGAAAGCCAGCTCCAGGTTCCTTGGGATCTTAGACATACTGTTAGCATCTAGCAGTCTAGAAAATCCTGTCTTCTTCTGGGAGATAGTGCTACCATTCATGGTATACCCCACATAGAGGTTTGTTCCTATACTCCTATGATATTCTAACTTTCAGTATTTGAGGAACATATAATTGTTGGACCAGTAGGGAAGAGTGTCAGTTTTAAAGTCATTATATTTAAATTCTGCCTTCCTCAAACAAGTACTTGACTTTTGGGGGAGGTCAGTTTCACTGTGTTACCCAGGCTAGAGGACAGTGGCATGCTCACAGCCACTGCATCTTCCACCTGCTGGGCTCAGGCAATCCTTCTGCATCAGCCTTTCAAGTAGCTGGAACCACAGATGCGCACCACCACACCCGGATAATTTTTTGATGTATTGTAGAGATGAGGTCTCACCATGTTGCTCAGGCTGGTCTGAAACCCCTGAGCTCAGGTAATCCTCTCGCCTCCGTCTCCCAAAGTGCTAGGATTACAGGTGTGAGCCACCATGCCCAGCTAACTCCTTTTAGGAGTTTTGTATCCTCAGCTCTAAGATTCAGAGTAATATCTGCCTTTCTGGATTATTAATAATATTAGCAATAAAGTATATAAAATATCTCAAACAGTAATGATCTATCTATTCAAACAGTGATCTATTTTAAAGTGATTATCAAGAGTCTGACACAGGTATAAAAAGTTTTTATTATCAGCATAGTACAGTATTCATAGATTTTTATCAAGCAATCTCCAAAATATATCCTCCAGGGAGAGCAAGCCTCTTTTATAGGATACATTACATACATGGATACCATATGCCTAGGAAAGACCCAATCTCTGGTTTTTACTGCCTTTCTCTTTTTGCTCTTCCTCTTCCCTTTCTTTAAATTCAGAAGCCATTCCATAAGACCTAAAGTCCTTTTGTAGGCAGTCCTTGAGACTGATGGGTTGAGTGCTGTTTTTTCATCCATAAAATTGTTAACCTTTTCTGGAACTTCTCTGTTTCTTCATAGGGTTTTCCATATTTCCCCCTCCAGGTGGCTGTTTTTATTAATTGCCTTATATTAGGAACAGGTCAGTTTGCTGGGGATAGGAAAATGTTGAAAAATACCGCAAATAAGACACAAACTAAATAAGCAGCAATTGCTATCCAAAACCTTGGATCTTTTAGCAGTGCTTTATCAAAGCAGCTGAACACAGTGTATCCTATGGACATTCCAGCAAATCCACCTGCGATGTGAGCTGCAAAAGACACCTTTGGAGAAAAGGGGGGGAAGTGGAAATAAGTAAAGAAAATGCTACTTGCATATTTCAGGTGTATCTCTCTTACTCAAACACAGATACCATCACAGTCAAACAAGCGTCTCAAAAGTCTAGAGAACCAGGGGGAAAGGCAATAGAGACACAAAGCTCCATGTACACACAGAGAAAGGTGATATTCTAAAATATGCAAAGCTTAAACGTTATTTTCATTCATTCTCTGAGTACACAAAACAGAGCCATTCTTTCTCCTTTTTTTTTTTTGAGCTGGAGTCTCACTCTGTCACCCAGACTGGAGTGCGGTGGCCGCTCCCAGCCACCACAGCCTCGACTTGCTGGACTCTGGCAATCCTTCCGCCTCAGCCTTCCAAGTAGTTGGAACTACAGGTGTGCGCTACCACGCCCGGCTAATTTTTGACTTATTGTAGAGATGAGGTCTCACCAAGTTGCCCAGGCGTGTCTCAAACCCGCGGGCTCAGGCAATCCACTCACCTCAGCCTCCCAAAGGCGCGGGATTACAGGCTGAGCCACCAAGCCCGGCTCTCCTTCTTCTTGATCATCACTGCATTTAGGGTGGTTCTATATAGTGCCAACCAAGAGAGCAGGAGTTGAGTTCCTACAAGGCATCTCTATAGGAGCTACTCTGATCCCACCGACATGGGATGTCAGAATTAAAACACAAGTAATAACATAAAAATACTCAAACAGAAACAAGACAAATCCCAGCAAAACTGAAAGTCTTTGTCAGCTTTCTTAACGTTATAAAGTCATATGGACCCGAATTTTCATTGCTGTTTTCCAATCTACTTTTTATTCAATGTGGACAAGAAAATTTCTTACCTCCTGTTTTGGAGTAGCTACCAACATGGCCGATGTAGCGAAGCAGAGCCTAGTGGTCAGGGTGAGAGAGTTACGTGCGAAGGACAATTCAGAAGTCCTTCCTTAGGAACCTTCTTAACTTCCTAATGAAAATGTGGCTGTCCTAAGCCACAGAGCTTGTAACCCCTATATGATGGCCCTTTTTGATGGGTAAACACATTTCTATTTTTAAAAAGGAAGAAATTGAACTCACCGGAGACCCATTTGCAGGGACAAAGAACCTTCTGTAGAGAGCAAATCCCATGTCCGACACAACTAGAAGCAAAAACACCCTGATGAATCCCCAGGATCTCCACAATAATGCACTGTGTATTTAGTTGCCTTCTAATAATAATAATAGTTATCATTTATTGAGACTTCATGCCAGGTGCCGTTCTAAAAGCTCTACATGTGGTAACTCCTTAATTCTCATGACAATCCTATGAAGTAGGTACTATCATTATCCCATTTTAAAGATTTATTCATCCAGAAAGTATTTATTGACTATCCTTTAAGTGTGAGGCATTATTCTAGGTGGTAGGAATACAGCAATGGACAGATGAGACAGCCCTGCCCCATGGAGCTGACAGTCTGGCAGGGTGAGGCAAACAAGTAAAATATATGGTGTGTCAAGTGGTGCTAAGTGCTATGGAGAAAATACAAAGGGAGGAAGGGGAATTGAGCATATGCCAGGTGTGGGGCATGATTTTCAGTAGGAGAATAGGGGAGGATCTCCCTGAGGGATGACATTAAATGGAGGTAAGGGTGCAAGCCATGCTGATATTTGAAGCAGGAGTCTTTTAGACAGAGGCAAGAGCAAGCACAAAGTCCCTGAGGCAGGAATTTGCCTGGTGTGTTTGAGGAATACCAAGCAGTTGATCTGGCTGGATCAGTGGGTTTCAAAGTGGTTTTCTCCAAGACCAGCAACATCAGCATCAACTGGGAACTTACTGGAAATTAAAATTCTCAGGCCCACCCCCAGACCTATTGAGCCAAAAACTCTGAGGGTGGGGCTCTGCATTCTGTGGGGTTTTGTTTTTGTTTTGTTTTTGGAAGATGAGTTGTTACACAGTCCTTAGTGGATTCTGACCTCCATGGCCACCATCCTGCTTGCATTCTGTATTTTAACAAGATATCCAGGTGATTCTGGACTAGAATTAGGGATAAACTAGTAGGTGTGCTATCAGACAGGTAGCAAGGGACAGATTATATAAGTCTTATAAGCCACTGTAAGGACTTTAACTTCTACTCTTAAGTTATAGGAAACCTTTGAAAGTTTTTGAGCATAGGAGTGACATGATCTAACTGAAATATTTAAAAGATCACTCTGGCTGCTATATGGGACCCAGACTATAAGACAGCAAGAAGAGGAACATGGAGACCAGCTAGAAGAACACAACTATAACAGCAGTCCAAGTGAGAAGTGGTACTTTTTTTTTTGTTTTTTTGAGTTGGAGTCTCACTCCGTCACCCAGACTGGAGTGCAGTGGCTGCTCCCAGCCACCGCAGTCTCGACCTGCTGGGCTCTGGTGATCCTTCTACCTCAGCCTTCCAAGTAGCTGGAACTACAGGCGTGCGGTACCATGGCCGGCTAATTTTTGATTTATTGTAGAGATGAGGTCTCGCCAAGTTGCCCAAGCGGGTCCCGAACCCGCAGGCTCAGGCAATCCACTCACCTCGGCCTCCCAAAGTGCTGGGATTACAGGCTGAGCCACCAAGCCCAGCCGATGATGGTACTTTATACACAAGGAAACTAAGACACTTAGCCCGGCACAGTGGCGCATGCCTGAAGTTCCAGCTACTTGGAAGATTGAGGCAGAAGGATCACCTGAAACCAGCAGGTCGAAGCTGCGGAGGCCGTGAGCATCCCACCGCATTCCAACCTGGATGACAGAGTGAGATTTTGACTCAAAAAAAGAAAAAAGAAAGAAAGAAACCAAGACACCAAGGCTCCACTCTCACTTACCATGCTAATTGTCTCTAATTATCATCGGGGCATTGAAGTTTGTCAGGCCATAAAAGGAACTGTGAGAGCCAGAACATAGACGTTCTTCAAATAAGTCAGATCTATGCTGCAAAAGGAGCTTCCAGTCTCTTGGCGCAAAAGAACTCAGCCCTGTGTGTGCTGTGCTTGGGAACATCTCTTGCAGCTATCACATTCCACACCCATCCCCCAATTCCCTGTGCTCTGCTTAGTCAGCCACTATGTCCTCGGAGACAGAGAGGCCTAGTCCTTGCCTTTGGGAAAATAGCATCAGGACCATATGTATTGATCAATACTGTATCGATTGATGTTGAAGTCACTAGACAGAAATTAAGGTCGAGGAAGTATTCAATATTAATTTAATTGTCAATGACTATTCCACAAAGTGTTGGATACATGGGGCTATATCATATGCATTTCCTGATCCAAGAAAATAAGCAGATAGGACTATAATTATAAGAAAACCATTGCCAGAGAACAGTACAAACTTAATTGGAAACAGTTACTTTGGTCTAGATTTCCATAACAGGAGGCCTCCCCTCAAAAAGTCTTTGTGGCTGGGGCTCGGTGGCTCAGCCTGTAATCCCAGCACTTTGGGAGGCCAAGGCGAGTGGATTGCCTGAGCCTGCAGGTTCAAGACCCACCTGGGCAACTTGATGAGACCTCATCTCTACAATAAATCAAAAATTAGCCAGGTATGGTAGCACACGCCTGTAGTTCCAGCTACTTGTAAGGCTGAGGCGGAAGGATTACCTGAGCCAAGAAGGTCGACGCTGGGGTGGCCATGAGCGTGCCACTGCACTCCAGCCCGGGTGATGGAGTGAGACTCCAACTCAAAAAAAAAAAAGTCTTTGTAACCATTGGCATGTCCGCTTCTTTACCCAGTTTCTCTAGTTCATCTTGACCCCTTCCTACATCTGTCCGTCTCTTTTCTCTTTCTGCTTCCTAGGGGACTTTGCTTCTGGGATACTGCAGCCTCTAAACTGAGACGTGTCTTCCCACCTAAAAGGAAGCCTTTACTCCAATAAACCAAATCATTGTCCTCATTAAAAATTTGACACTCGACCAGGCATGGTGGCTCATGCCTGTAGTCCCAGCACTTTGGGAGACCAAGGTGGGAGGATTGCTTGAGCCCAGGAGTTCAAAACTAATATCAATTTCACCCAACGGAGTTACTTTGGGCAACATAGAGAGACCTCATCTCTACAAAAAAAAAAAATCAAAAAATTAACCAGGCACGGTGGTGTGCACCTGTAGTCCCAGCTACTTGGGAGACTGAGGTGGAAGGATCTCTTGAGCCCAGGAAGTGGAGGCCGCAATAAGCCATGATTGTGCCACTGTGCTTCAGGCTAGGTAACAGAGTAAGACCCTGACTCAAAAAAATAATAATTTGACACTCATTTCAAAAGAGTTGCCTTTATATTAATTTTTAATAATATATTAAGTTATTATATTTAATATACTAATATATTAAAATTATATTTAGTATGAAAACATAACATTTCCTTAACCTTTCCCAAAGAAAGCTTAGTTGCTTAGTTAGAAAACACATCCCATGCCGGGCTCGGTGGCTCAGCCTGTAATCCCGCGCTTTGGGAGGCTGAGGTGAGTGGATTGCCTGAGGCCGCGGGTTCGAGACCTGTCTGGGCAACTTGGCAAACCCTCATCTCTACAATAAAATCAAAAATTAGCCAGGCCTGGTAGCGTGCGCCTGTAGTTCCAGCTACTTGGAAGGCCGAGGCGGAAGGATCGCCGGAGCCCAGCAGGTCGAGGTTGCAGTGGCCGGGAGCGGCCACTGCACTCCAGTCTGGGCGACGGAGTGAGACTCCAATTAAAAAAAAAAGAAAACACATCCCACAAATAATGCCTGATGGAGGAGGGTCCTTCAGACCAGCTGTCCTTCACAATTAAGAAGAATATTTACCACTTAAACGAAATTGTATACATACTTCCAAGGAAATATGTTTCAAATAAAAATATATTTGCCTTTTATCAATCTGATATGTGTTGTAACTATTCTTAGGGCAAAAACTTAGATAAATCAGTTCAAAAACTTTTAGAAATGACATTTACCAGGAATTGAAGAGGACAAATGTTAGCACATCCTACTTACTGGGTAAGATGCTTGGAGGATCTAATTTAAAAAACACATCATTCTATGATTTTATTACTTCCCTCAAGAATGGCATACTATTAAGATTACATAAGGAATATTAATAATGCATGATGAAAGGAGCTTCACTCCAACACATAAGAGTATTAAAACCATTTCCCCATTAAGGGTATGGGGCTTCTGTTATAAAAGTCATTTGTGCCAGACTTGGTGGCTCAGCCTGTAATCCCGTGCCTTTGGGAGGCTGAGGTTTGTGGATTGCCTGAGCCTACGGGTTCGAGACCCACCTGGGCAACTTGGCGAGACATCTCCACAATAAATCAAAAAAAATTAGCTGGGCGTGGTAGCGCATGCCTGTAATTCCAGCTACTTGGACGACTGAGGCGGAAGGATCGCCGGAGCCCAGCAGGTCGAAGCTGCCGTGGCCGGGAGCGGCCACTGCACTCCAGTCTAGATGACAGAGTGAGACTCCAACTCAAAAAAAAAAAAAAAGTCATTTGTAATCAAATGGGCACAGTGGCTCACTCCTATAACCCCAGCACTTTAAGAGGCCAAAGCAAGAGGACTTCTTGAGCCCAGGAGTTCAAGACCAGCCTGGGTAATATAACGAGACCTCATCTCTACAAAAGTCAAAAAATAAGCCAGGCATGGTGGCACATGCCTATAGTCTCAGCTATTCAGGAAGCTACGGTAGAAGGATTGCCTCTATCCAGGAGTTCTAGGCTGTGGTAAGCCGTAAACACACTGCACTCCAGCGTGGGCAACATAGTGAAACCCTTATTCAAAAAGAAAAGGAAAGAAAGTCATTCATAATCACCTAAAAGAAGTAGATTGACTGAAGACCCAGATAACTTGTGTGACATTTTTATGGTCAAATGATTTGTCACTTGGTTTTGTGACTCAACCCAAGAGGCAGGTCTGCTCCTACAGCAATTCTCCTATCTCCAGGTGCTCTCTCCCTTCCCTACTGACAGTTGCCCTTATCTTTTGGATTTCTTTCTTTCTTTTTTTTTTGAGTCAGAGTCTCACTCTGTTACCCAGACTGGAGTGCAGTGACATGTTCATGGCCACCGCAACCTCAACCTGCAGGGCTCAGGCAATCCTTCCAAGCTAACTTTTTGATTTATTGTAGAGACGAGGTCTTACCAAGTTGCCCAGGTTGGTCTCGAACCCGTGGACTTAGGCAATCTTCTTGCCTCTGCCTCTACAGTAAATCAAAAAATTAGGCATGGTGGTGCACACCTGCAGCTCCAGCTACTTGGAAGGCTGAAGGAGAAGGATCGCTTGAGCCCAGCAGGTCAAGGCTGCAATGGCCGTGAGCGTGCCACTGCACTCCACACTGGGTGACAGAGTGAGACTCCAACTCAAAAAAAAAAAGAAAGAAAGAGAAAGTACAGTATATATAAAACATAAATGAAGCTATGGGGATGCCTAGAACTCTATTATCTTAGCTTTCTCCACTTCAGAAAGATACAAAAAGCAAAGTCACAGCATGTAGGCATGTCTAAGAACCACCCATAAAAGTAGGTGAAAACTCCATTTACCACGTTCCACTTAGGGCCATGAAGCTGACAGTTTTTTCTGACTCTCAGCTAGCAATCATGTTAGTGTCTGGGAAATGTGGAAAGGTCTTCTGAAGGCTGAACCAATAAGCTTGAAGGCATTATGAAAGTTTATTATACAAAGTGGCTCATTCTTGTCATACCCAGCTAAGTCCCAGTTGAGGGGCCAGATGCCAGGTTCCATAGCACTGCTCCAAGAATTGAATTCTCTGCAAGCTCAGCTGCTGAAACTACCTATAATATTAAGACCAGTTTTCTCTAATAGCTGCCAAAACTGCCTGTCACAGGTCTAAGACTAGTTCTGTCTACCACTGTCCCTCACCAGTCATAGCTTGCCAGCTCCCAAAAGCTTCTCTAGAGCCAAGAAGCTTTCTTTCAAAACAATAGTAACGTTTCTCTTTCTAATAAAACCCTCAGCCTTTTCTTTGCTCTTCTGATATACCGAAGACCACCCAGGTCTGTGTGTGTGCCCCAAATTGCAATTCTGTGATTCCCACCTTAAACATTTAATTTAGAGATGTGTCTCTATTTTATTTTTACTTTAACACTATGAACTTACTTACTTATAAGGATGATGATCAGCAGTCTGACGATTCCAAGGGCAGGAATCATTTCTCGAAAATTCTTGCAAACAGATAAATAACAATCATATAAGCTGTCTACTGGCAAATAAAACCTCAATTCTACTCCCTTTTCATCTGCTTTTCATTTCAAACAATGTTTGAGTGTCAAATATTTGCAAAACAAAGCATGGGTATACAAGCCAAGTTTTCAAATGTATTTGGGAAGTACAGTACTGGTGTACTCTGGAGAACAAAATGAAACATGATGTTGAATTTTATGATATAAGTGATGCACTTTTATTAGCCAGAAATAATCTAAATATAAGTAATATAAAGTCAACCTTTAACATGTCCATCAATAAATAGATAAGTAAATGTTGTCAGATTAAATCTGCTGAAATATTTTCAAGCTTTTGGGGTCAATATTCATTTGATACCTCTCCATTCTCTTTCTCAGTGATAGTTAGCAAAGACTTAACAAAGATTAGAGTATTACTTTAATTTTTTTTTAGGTAATTTTTTTTAAAGTTGAGAATGTTAGTCAAAAATCATTGTTTGATTTTTAGCTTTGAGAAAATTTAGTCCAGCTTGCGGTAACCCAGTGAGTCACCAGCAAACTGCAAATGAGACATTTCTACCTTAACTTATTGAATTAAATTAAATCTCCCTTCCCTGTCAAGTGACTAACTTTCTTCCCAAAAAGTAAAAATGCAGAAGTAAGCATGTTTATTATAAATCAAGTATTTTCAAACTCTTGTGACCATGACCTACAGGAAGAAATAATTTGCAGAACAACCCAGTACACACACAAATCATGGAGTACTTACCCTTGTTACACATAATACATGCTGATATGTTTCCTTTTTGCTTAATTTTTTGTTCACAATCCCTTAAACTGAGTCCACAACACCTAATGAGCTGCAATCCAAAGTTTAAAAATGATTTTTCTAAGTGATTCTATATTTGAAACAGTTTTATAATTGCTTTATATTTTTCTTTCTAGAGTATTTTTAAAGTATACCTAAATCATCAAAGAGTTAATTATGAGTCAGAATTTTAGCCTGTTTTGAAAGGTGGTTGTCATGCTCACATACTATCATGGGAGTATAAAACGACATACCAGCTTTGGAGGGCAATTTGGCATATACATATTAAATTGAAAGCCTTCCACTTCTGGAAATATATCCTACCAAAAAAAAATCACACAAGTGCAAAAAAAAAAAAAAAAAAAAAAAAAGGTAAAAGAACACTTCTTACAGGGTTATCTGTAAATATAAAATGCTGAAATACCCCAAATTTTTTCAAAAAGAGATCTGTTACATATATCACAGTGCAACTACATATAGAATGCTGTGGAACACCTGCAAAGATGAGGGAGAGCTCTGTGTACTGACATGGGCAGATGGTCAGCATACTCTATGTTAAAATGCAGAGCAGTGTCAGGATGATTCCATCCGCATGATATTAATATTGGTAGGAATTTGAATGCATATAGAAAATGGTCTGAAAGGACATATATCAAACTGTCAGCAAACTCTCTTCACCAACCCCCCAACTGTTAACAGATACTATATTGAGGATTTTGACTTTTCCATTTTTTAATTTAAAATGTCATTTAGTGTTCACTACTTTTAAGATCAGAAAAAAAAGATAAAATATGAAAGGAAAATTCTGGTAGCCATATAGTTCTCAGAAAGAAGATAAGTACTCAGTAAATACTGATAAATGAAGATTCCCTAAACCAAATAACAGTAATTGTTGTTGCTGTTGCTGGTTTTTTAAAAGGCCCATTGACTCCATCCTCAAAGTTCTTACCACTAGAACATTCATGAAATAGCCTCCCATCAGGGCGTAGACCCCTCCTGAAGCACCCACAAGATATCTGAGTGGGTCAAAGATGGAGCTGGCAAGGGAGCCTAGGGAAACAAAACACAAAGGATCAGCCATGACTATAAAATTTTGAAAGGTAACTCTTTCTAATCTAAACTAAACCTTTGGGAAGTTTGATCCATGATCATATTAACAAGCAACAAATTTATTTTCACCTACTGCAAGAGTACAGCTATGTAGTCTAACTACCACAACTTTTCTGAAACATTAAATGTTCATTAGAAAAGCAATATAACAATGAAAATAGTACAGACTCTGGAGTCAGAATTATCAGCTGTGGGACTTGAAGAAACTTCTCTGTGCTTCAGTTTCCCTACCTATAAAATGGAAATGTTAATAGAATTTCCCTCAGTGGGTTTTCAGGGGAAGTAAGTGAATTGATAAATGTATTGTGCTTAGAACCCTACCTAACATGTATTACATACTTTTTCGCTATTATTGCAACTATCCATGTTTAGTCAGAACTATAAAAATACCTGAGATATCTCAATATTTTATTACCTACTAGCTTTAATGAGCCATGATGTGACCTCATAATCCTTCTCAACATATCATTTGACCAGATTCTCCAAGCAAGATGAATCCTATTACTAACCTAATTCTAGACTTCCTGGACCAAAACAAGCCTTTACCAACCACCTTATGCAAATACTAAGATATTCTCTCTGCAATGCTTAGTTCGTTTACTTGATCTCTTCCTTTTAAAGCCTTCCTTCATGCCTTAAACATTATGTAATACAGTACCTACTTTGTACAAGAAAGACAACATGTTTCTCTGTAGGAATCAAGATGAGCCAACAACTAATATAAAATGTGCAATATGGCCAGGCACAGGGCCTCACTCCTATAATCCCAGCACTTTGGGAGGCCAAGGCAAGAGGTCTGCCTGAGCCCAGGGGTTCGAGACCAGCCTGGGCAACTTGGCGAGACCTCATCTCTACAATAAATCAAAAAATTAGCCGGACGTGGTGGTGCACTCCTGTAGTTCAAACTACTTGGAAGGCTGAGGCAGAAGGATGGCCTAAGCCCAGCAAGTCCAGACTGCGGTGGCAGGAAGCGTGCCACTGCCCTCCAGCCTGGGCAACGGAGTGAGACTCCGACTCAAAAGAAAAAAAAAGTGCAATATAACAATGACTATGACCAAAGTACAATATATTTACCATAGACGCACTTAGAAAGGAATGATTTTCTCGGCAGAAGAGTGGAATGCTGGCTACACTGAGGAGAAGGAGATAGCATTTTGATTAAACACTATAGAATCTTTAAGATTGGATAAGGAAAACAAGGGGGAAGAAGGTATTCAGGACTTAGGGAACTGGAAAAGCAAAGACACAGAAACAGAGGTATGCCGATGACTGAAGGTCAGTGAGAAGTAGTCCAATAGGGCTAGAGCAGAGACTCTCAAATGCAGACTACAGACTAGGGCTGGGGTGGTTGTATCATAATCATATGAGAGATTTGTTTTTAAAATATAGATACAGGCCGGGCATGGAGGCTCATGCCTGTAATCCCAGCACTTTGGGAGGCTGAAGCAGAAGAATTACTTGAGCCCAGGAGTTCAAGACCAGCCTGGGCAACATAGTAAGATCCTCATCTCTAAAAAAAATCAAAAAAGTAGCCAGATGTGGTGGCATGCATCTGTAGTCCCAGCTACTGGAGAGGCTAAGGTGGAGGGGTCACTTGAGCCCAGAATTTCAAGGCTGCAGTGATCATGCCATGATCGTGCCATTGCACTCCAACATGGATGACAGAGTGAGACCTTGACTCAAAAAAAAAAAGTACAGACATAAATGTCTACTTATGGCCATGGTAGAGTAATAAAAATAGGATTTGCCCTCCCACTTGAAAAAGCCCCGCTGTGCAATGGCTCATACCTGTAATCCCAGCACTTTGGGAGGTGGAGGCAAGAGGATTATCTGAGCCCAGGATTCAAGTCCAGACTGGGAAACTTGGCAAGACCTTGTCTCTACAATAAATCAAAAAATTAGCCAGACATGGTGGCGTGTGCCTGTAGTTCCAGCTACTTGGAAGGCTGAGGTGGAAGGATCACCTGAGCCCAGCAGGTCGAGGCTGCGGTGGCCATGAGCGTGCCACTGCACTCCAGCTTGGGCGGCAGAGTGAAACTCCAATTCAAAAAGAAAATGAAAAGGAAAGAAAAGAAAAATCCAAAAGCTAGACATCAAGCAACAAAGAACAGTAAACCCTTAGAGACAGGAAATAAGTTAGATGAGTTATCTGATTGCCCAGGAACTGCGTTGAGAGAGATTACAGACTGCAGTGCATTAAAAGGAATCCCAGGTAGATCCCAGCAAACTTCAACTTAATGAGATGGAGTTTAGAATCCAGACAAACCTAGACAGCTGGAGTTTGCAAGATAGAGTACCAGAGAGTGGAGAGTTGCACACAGAAAACTCCAGAAAGAAGAATGTGAGAAAATTATCTGAGCCAAGGAAAGAACCACCAAAAATGGGGTAGGAGACTACCCGTTGCTCACACAGCACCAGAGAGGCTAAGTCTATACTGGAAAATTTGGGCATTGATTAGACCACACAAAAGGGTCCTAAAACAGCAATGGGAATAATTAACATCTTACCAGAAAGAATTAAGTTGCTTCTAAGTAACTTAACCAAGTTACAGAAAAAAATCTAAAAACGTATTTATAGTAATACAAAAATATCCTCCATCTAGCTAGGTAAAATATCTACCCTCCAATCATAAATTTCCAGTCATGCAAAGAAGCAGGAAAATAGGACATATAATAAGGAGGAAAATAAATTAAATAAAATCTACCCAGAACTGACTCAGGTGTTAGATTTAGCAAATAAAGATATTAAATAAATATTCCAGTTGTATTCTGTGTGTTCAAAAGTTAGATAGAGACATGTAAGATATAAAACAGACTCAGACTTTTAAAGATGAAAATTACAATGTCTAAAATTTTAAAAATATAGTCTCCACTCTCTGGTAATCTATCTTGCAAACTCCAGCTGTCTAGGTATAATAGCTGACTATACATTGCAGAATAAAAGATTAGTGAAGATACAGCAAGAGAAACTATCTGAAATGAAACACACAGAGAATACATTAAAAAACAAATATAGCATCAATGAGCTATGAAACAATTTCAAGCAGCCTAATAAATGCATAATTGGAATACCCAATAAAAAGGAGAGAAGTCAGAAAAAATATCTGAAGAAATTATGGTTGAATTTTTTCCAAAGTTTGATGAGAACTATAAACCCACAGATCCAAAAAGCTCCACAAACCCCAAGCACAAAAAAATAAAAAAAAAACAACAAAAAAAACATGTAGAAAACGAGACCAAGACACGACAAAATCAAATTGATTTAAACCAGTAGCCATGGGAAAAAGACATGTTTCATAGGATCAAATGTAAGATTGTAAGAGATTTCCTGTTGGAAACAATACAAGTAGGAAAACAATGAAGCAGCATCTATTTTATTTATTTTATTTTATTTATTTTTTAAATTTAATTTATTTTATTTTATTTTGGGGGTCAAAGTCTCACACTGTCACCAAGACTGGAGTGCAGTGGCATGCTACGGCCACCACAGCTTCGACCTATTGGGCTCAAGCAATCCTTCCACTTCAGCCTTCCAAGTAGCTAGGACTACAGGCATGTGCCACCATGCACGGCTAATTTTTGGATTTACTGTAGAGATGAGGTCTCATCAAGTTGCCCAGGCTGGTCTCAAACCCGTGGGCTCAGGCAATCCTCTCACCTCAGCCTCAAAAAGTTCTGGGATTATAGGTGTGAGCCACCATGCCCGGCCAAAGTAACATCTTTAGAGTACTGAAAGAAAAATACTACCAAGCTTGAATTCTATACGTAATAAAAATGTCTTCAGAAATACAGGCTAAAGAATTTTTTCAGATATACGATGGCTGAAAAAATTAATGACCTGCAGATCCATACTGTAAGAAACATTGAAGAAAATCCTCAGTCAGAAAGAAAAGAATATCAGATGGAAATATGAGCTATACAAAGAAATGGAGAACACTGGAAATGGTAAAAACATGAACAAATATACAAGATTTTTAATTATTATTTCAAATCTATTTAGAATATAATTATTTTTAAAAACACCGTAATGTGGGGTTTATGACATATGACATAAAGTAAACTGTATGATAATACTAGAAGCAAGGGGAAAAACAGAAATATATCATTGTAAGGTTATTATACTATACGTGAATCAATATATTACTTGAAGGTAGACTGTGATAAGTTCAAAACATACTATAGCCCTAAAGCAAACACTAAAATAACAAAACAAAGAATTATAGCTCATAAGTCAACAAAGGAGCCAAAATAGAATCATAAAAAATATACAATATTGCTGGGCGTGGTGGCTCATGCCTGTATTACCAGCACTTTGGGAGGCAGAGCTGAGAGGACTGCCTGAGCCCAGGGTTTGAAACCAGCCTGGGCAACTTGGCAACACCTTGTCTCTACAATAAATAAATAAATAAATAATTAGCCGGGCATGGTGGTGCACACCTGTAATTCCAGCTACTTGGAAAGCTGAGTAGAAGGATCGCCTGAGCCCAGCAGATCGAGGCTGCGATGGCCATGAGTGTGCCACTGCACTCCAGCTTGGACAACAGAGTGAGACTCCAACTTAAAAGTAAGTAAGTAAATAAATAAAAGACTGGATGAAAAAATAAGACCAAACTACATGCTGCCTACAAAAATAATGCTTTAAATATAAAGACACAGATAGGTATTGCTTCTCAGTCTTTTGGCTAAGATCATGTGTGAAGTTACAAATAGGTTAGAAATAAAATGATGGACAAGATATGCTAACATGAATCAAAAGGTAGAGTTCTATATTAATATAAGACAAAGTAAATTTCAGATCATACAGTTTCAGGCTAGATGCAGTGGCTTACACCTAAAATCCTAGAACTTTGAGAGGCTGAGGCAGAAGGATCACTTGAGGCTAAGAGTTTAAGACCAGCCTGGGCAACATAGCAAGACCTCGTCTCTACAGAAAATTTTAAA